GGGGCTGGGTTTGAACCCGCCACCCTCGGTATATGGGGCCGGCGCCTTACTCACTGAGCCACAGGCGCCTCCCCAGAAGGCTGTTTTCTCACTGGCCACTTACAATGATCTTATCATGGGAAATTGAAACTAGTCTCAGACTATTTAATCGTAGTCTGGACCAGTTTAAGAGAACCTTAATTTGCAGGGGAAGGGAGCCCTGGAATGCCCTGGCCCCTGTTGAGATACTTCTTATGTAAACCAAAGGATGACAAGAGTGTACACCTAAATAGATATAAACAGAAACAAAGTGTACAAAAACTTCTTCTTTGGAATCAGCTCCCCTAATTTGGCCCCTTCTACTCTAGAACCCACCCAAACTTTCATAACATCTTGAAGGTAAAGATTCTATATCCAATAAGGGAGGGAATTAGTAGTAAATTTACATGGCTTAGAAATTTTCTTTCTGGATCCATGGAGGGTTGAATCCTTTGAAGCTCTAAAAGTAAATCAGAATGACTGAGTTGTAAGATATATACACACACACACACACACACATATTTTCTAATAGGAAGTACTTGGAGTTAATCAGTATTTTTTTCAGTAGCTTTTTCCATGCATCTTAAATCTATCTGACATGATCAGATTACAGTATTGTTAACTCTCACAGCATTAAGAAGATTTCTTATTTTGTAGTAATTTACTATGAGAATTAAAATTGCTGCTTTGGTAGGGATGATTCCAATTTACCAAAGCTGGATGATTCTGTTTTTTCTCCCTTCTATATACCTCTACTTTCCCCTAGCCTGGTATAGGTGAAACAAGTGGTTCATCTCCAATCTTGATTTTTATTTGCATTCAGCATTTTGGGTTTGGAAGGTTACAAGAAAGAACTATAAATGACCATATTCCTAGATTTTAAATTATCTGACAAAATTTAATTTGTCTTAAAAACCAGAAAAAAATAAAGTTCATTACTGGGAGATGACCTTTTTCTAATTGGAGGACAAATTTGGGAAGGTGGGGTCTGATTTTTATTGTGTCATTTGAAAAGACTGTCATCCTTTACTTGAGGTTCCATTTCTGATTGTGATGTGGCCTCTCTTGAACAAAGTCATATAGGAACCCCTAGAAATTACCCTTTTACCTTGTAGGTCCACAAGCAAAAACACTCTGGTTGTATACAGCCACTCATCCCCAAGGATTTGCCAGTTCTTGATTTCCGTTGGTGTTTCTTGGGGTCAATCTATAACTCCTACTCTTATTTAGTGGACAGTCTGGTCTGGACCAGTCCTAAAAAATATATGCTCACTTGCATCATTTTCATTCTGAGCCAGTAGACTTAAAACCCCAAGAAGCAGTACTTACTTTGGCTAGTGACATTTGATTTTTGTCTCCATCTTGATTTTCTGACATTGTTGGTGAAGTCACATTAACTTTTTTTGGTCATTAGAAAAACAGCCAAAAAGGTATTATTAGGGAGGGTAGTCAAGATGGAGGGTAGGGGGCAAGAATGCTTATGCAGGGTAGAAAGAATGTGGGGATAGCTGGTTATGGTGATTCAGTCTGTTGGAACCTTAGAAGGCTTCTGTAGGCATGTCAGTTCTACCATTTCAGCCTCCAAGACACCCCCTCCTTTGAAATGAAAATACAAATTGACCACAGTTTAAAATAGTATAATTCTACTAAGGTTTAATCATTATACTTGTTCACTTCCTAGTGCATATTTCCTTAATATGCTTGGGGTTTGGGGTTGGGGTTGAGTTTTCATTGTTGGATTGTGTGTCACCCTATATTTTTACCCCTCCTGTGACTTTGGCATCTTCTTTGACTTTCTATTTTCCTTTCTGTTGGCTTATTGCAGTAGTCTGCTGGGGCAGGTAGAGAGCTCATTATGCTACTACTGATAATTATCTTCAATACTGTCAGAGGTTGAGGTTATTTTTTTTTATTAAGACAGAATCTTACTTTATCACCCTCAGTAGAGTATTGTGACATCATAGCTCACAGCAACCTCAAACTCTTGGGCTCAAGGGATTCTCTTGCCTCAGCTTCCTTAGTAGCCAGGACTACAGGTGCCTGTCACAATGCCCAGATATTTTTGTTTGTTTGTTTTTTGTTTAGCAGGCCCAGGCCAGGTTCAAACCCACCAGTCCCAGAGCATGTGACCAGCACCCTAACCACTGAGCTATGGGCACTCCTGTCAGAGGTTATTTTGATGTTCTAAGAAAAGCATGTCATTTCTTTACAAAATCATCTTTTCCAAGAAAAATAAAATACCCCTGTGCTAGGGTGCCCATTTCAGCTTTTGACATTACCCCTGTACTTTTATAGATGCTCTTTTGTCCATGTTAGTAGTAACTAATAACTAGTGAATTTCCATGTAAATGATGCAAATTCAATATTTAATATTTTATTAATTTCTCATAGTCCTGCCAAATCTGATGATTTTTTAATTACTCCCAGAAAGCATTTCCCCTCCTACCTTTTATTCTATTCTGTTCTATTTTTAGAATAACACACTAGGTAAAGAAACTTTAGCTGCAAGGAATCAGTGGTTTTTAGTTCTTCCTGGATAAATTGTGTTATTGACAATGAACGAATTTCATTGTTTTTTCCTGTGTTACTATCTTCTTTCCTATGCTCTTGACAGTGTGTTTAGTGGATAGATAATATGTATTTCTCTTTCCCACTCCCAGATTCCAAATTCCCTCTCTTTTGACCCACCTTACCACAAAAGTTCCATAGTTTATTAATTTAAGTTTGAATGGATGCTTCTTTGGGGAAACTACGGGAGTTACTGGAAGTGTTTCAGAAAGGAATGAGAACATCTCAGGAGTTGATCTCTGATGGAAATTGGTTTGTTCTGTTAACGCTGATGGGAAGAAACTTACACTGCTTAATAAAATCTATTCTTTTAGTAAAAAAAAAAATGTGGAATAATTTGACATTTGATTTCTTCTCCTGTTTCTGGATCCCTTTCTGCAAATGAGGGATATACTTGTTTCAAGTATAAACAGAGAAGTGTTGCACATAGATTTAGGAGTCCATTTGTAGAATATCAGGGCAAGAAACTCAGTATAAGAATTATCAAAAGGAAAAGCATATTTAGCTTCCTAGTTAACCTCTTTATTTGGATGTGGTAAAGGTACTTTTGTTTTGATGTTTCCCAAACTAACACTATCTTTTACTCAATTATTTAA